GGGGGGGGGGGGGGGGGGACACAGGGAGAGAGAGGAAAAAAAACCCCAAAAGTTCCATTCTTGAGGTAATTTTTAATACACCTATTTCTACTGAATTCCCCACTGGAATGGAGGAGCATTTTGGAGCAACTAATTGTGGTGACAGTGCAAGAGCATACATTTACATGTACACATCCAATATTTTAAAGAGTTAGAACCAGAAGCTTCTAACTTTGCATTGCATGTGCCCCAAAATATTCAGATCCTTCAGACACTACGATAAGGAGGCATGCAGTTGGATCACTCACTTCCCAAAGACAGTGTACTTCATGTCTAGGTGCGGTTGCTTGCCGTAAGTGATGAAGAACTGCGATCCATTGGTATTCGGACCATTGTTTGCCATTGAAACTACTCCACGGACACTGTGCTGAAAGAGGAGAAAAACCTCAACATGAATACACGTCTGTAAAAGAAGGACTGTAACCTGTACAAAGTGCTCTGTGACTTTGTACTCTGCCTTAATACCAATATTAAGAACAAATCTTGGTTGCTAATATATTCCACCACAGTCCCTAATTAGCTCCTCAAAACTGCTCTTACAATGAAAAATTACTTCTTTGACTTCAGTGCATGAAAAATACTTTGTTACAAATTCTTTCTACTTCTATTCTCAGTGATGAAAACCCTCAAATGTAACTTGCCAAGTACAGAAATGCCTGTTCCCATTTTAATAATAAGCTTTCCACCCCTTTATCGCAGGATCATACTTTGCTTCACAATGACAAAAGAGGTATTACAATACAACACAACACTGATCGTTCTTCAACCTGTAAATAAAATTCATGTGAAAACATAACTGCATATTGAGAGCACAGAAATACCTTTAGGTATTCACTGAATTCATCTTCAAACTTCTTGCCCCAGATGCTGTTACCTCCTTTCCCAGTGCCTGACAAAGAAGCACTACAACAGATTACTGGATTTTCAGACTGAAGAATGCAGAAATGAAATACTGTTATAACACTTGTAAAGCAATGACCCTAGATAAGACTGTAATTCGTTTGAGGCAGGGACTGGGGTCTCATGTCTTGATACTAAGCAGAGACAACTCCAGAACAAAGCACTGACATATCCTCAAATTAAATTTAGTATGACTCCAGACAGACACACAGTTCAATCAGATTTTCTCCCAAACAGTTGACACTGTCTGGGACATTTTCCCCAAATGCTTTAGAGGCAGTGTAGCCTTTCAGGCAGAAACCAGAGAAACCACAGTAGCAACTGCTACCTGTTCAACAGCTGGTAAGCCAGCAGAACCATCATATTTAGTGGCAACAGCTGGAAAAAACTAAAGTTTGTAGGATGCTTTACTACTGCATGATTATTTAGAACTAGGGTAACGGCTGCTCTCCTGTAAGCTCACCACAGGAAACTAATCTCATCATAAAAACCTCTATCAACAATACAATAATTCTTATATTTTATTTTTACTTTATGTTTTTAATATTCATACTTATAATTTCTTTATATTTCTTGATATTTTTCTTATATTTTATTTTTATGTACATTTTTCTATAGAGAGACCCTGACAGAACAATTTACCTAGTGGATCCCCTGTCTGAACCATGAAGCCCTTTATATTCCGGTGAAATACGCAGCCATTGTAGTAGTTACTAGCACAAAGAGCCAGGAAATTCTAAGGAAATGAAACAAACCATATTAAGATACAATTCAGAAACAGTACCCTCTTACTAAAATGACAGCATTGGCAGGACCAAGACTAACCCTTTTGCCTCCGCTTTGTGTTGTAACCATGTGAATTCCGCGGAGTATTGCCACAGAATAGTCATAAACAAATTATAGTTAATATGCTCCTTTGACACTGTCACAGATACAAAGGATTTTAAATAAAGCTTACAGCACAAGGTCATCTGCCTTGAGGAACAAACAAGAAGCCTGAGACACACTCAGAAGTGGTCACTTCAATATTTTTATTTTGTAAATGTAATTTTGTAATCAATATCTTCACGCCTCAGCTTTGTTAGTTCAAAAGTAAACTATTTCAATTTAAGCTTAAATTTTTCGCAGAAAGGAAAACCTGAGGCCTCTGAGAAACTGGGAGTGATTCTCACGCTTGTAAATTAAAATAAAATCTGTGCAAGCATGAGCAAACCCAGGGAAATTTGGGAATCCCAGGCCATGTGCCATATTTCCCCTTAAGGGCAAAGGACACTTTGGGAGATGCTAGAACTTGGCGAAAAGCGGCCCTTAGTTAAACCTTATCTGGTGAGAAACAGGCAGCAAAGCTCTAGGCAGTATGACACGGTACACAAGTATACAGTACACAAGTTCCACAAGTGGAACAGGCACTGTACCAGCGTAAAATGTTAATATTCCACTACGTGAAAAGATGAATTGCAAATGCCACTTCACCTCCTCGACAGTCTTCACTATTTCTACTGCTTTGTTTCAACACTAGGCAATCCCACTCCTGTTACTTGACTTACTTCGCAAGTCTTTGGCGTACGCTCACAGAATAGTTCAATTTTAATATCTCCTACATCAGTATGCAGCGTGACAGCCTGAGCAAGAGGCAGAAAATAATAATTAAATCAGCAATGAAATACTAACAGACTCAGTTTTATTTCCCAGTCCCACCAAGAACACAAGCAACTTCCCACTGCGTATAACCACTGTTTCAATATTTGGCTACTGTCACAAAACTTCCACATTTCCAATGAAATCACCAGAAAGGACTTAGTTTCATTTAGTTTCATGACAAATCAAGTTCACTGTGGCAATGCAGAAGCTCTGATTCATGCTGTTATACTTCAGAGATACGTTATTCATTTGTGAACTGGACCTACTCAGTCTGGTAGGTCCCCCCTACCAGAGGGACAACTAATGGGTGTTACTTGCCCGCAGCCTTTTGAGTGATAAGGCTAGTTCTGAATAGCACGGCATATAATCTGCCTTCCTAAACAAGCAAATCTACAAAATTACACACTTCTCTTAAGAATTTATAAATAACCTTCATAAAATTTAAAATGGCAGTTACCCAGCCACCTAAGCAAATATATAAATATATCCCTATAGGCCCAATATATCACAGTGCTTCCATGGAAAGTGCTAAACTACGCAAAAACAATTACTGTGGGGCTATACTGGGGGACAAGTGTACAGGAAAACTAGTAAAATCAGTATCAAGTTGGCATACTTTTCCAGAAGTATGCAAGTAAAGAGAAGATAGTTGCCTGCAATGTCCATGAAGATTCTGCAAAAGGTGTATGTACAGTTTAAGACACAGTCTTATCTCTTTTTCCTGATTTGCTAAACTTTTAAAAGCCTGCAAATGTAGAAGGTTACATACACTCAAGCAGGGCTATGTGCTTGCAACTTGAATAATGCTTCTGTGGTAAAAGAAAACAAACTAGATAACCAAATACTAGCCAAAGTAGGATTAAGATTTAGTATTTCAGAACTAAAAGTCTAATTATATTTTAGACTAATGTAAGCTGACCTGTTTTCCTTCTCAAAATATCTTGTCTGAAATGAAAACCTGAACTTTTCATTACAAGTTATTCACATCATCAGAGTAAAATGTGTAACCCTTCGAGATGCAGAGCAGCTATTCACTTTCCAAGAGATGACCATTCCAGAAAGAATGAAAAAATATAAAAAGTGCTATTGTTCTCACCATGTCTGCTTATCAAAAAGCTGAGGTAATTTGTATACAGCAATTCCCTGCAAAGAAAACATATGAGATTTATTGGGTTTTTTTCCACCAATCCTTTTGATTCTAAAATATTTATGAGGTTATATGCCGCACAGGTTTTTTTTAAAACTCCATGCAGTTTTACAGTGCCATTCAAGGGACTGTGGATAAATGTTTTACTTGCATTGTGCAACTATGCAGCATATGAAGAACTACAAAGGAGTAGAACAAAATAGCTTAGAGAAAGGGGGGTGGGGGTGGCAAAACCACACCCTTTCCTAAGATGAAAGCTTATACAAAGCAATCACAACTTTTCCAAAGATTATGATATTTATAAGTGACAGGAATTAACAGAGAAAAACCACGTGCCAGTACCTAAACAGAAGCGTGATTTGGAGCCACCTTCTGACAGCTGTCAGTGCCTGCAACAGACAGGTACCTGCATCCAAGCACAGGATCAAACTTTTTTATCTTATTTTCAAGTAAAGCATTTGAAATGATGATAATAAAACCGCAGTTGCGTAGAAACCAACAGTTTTACACGCTAACTTCTTCTCTACGGACTGCCCTCCCTGGTTAGCCCCCAGGCTCGGCAAGGCCTCTCACGGAAGCCGGGGAAGCCGCCCGCAGCCAGCTCCGGC